ATGCGACTTTCATTAGATTATGTTTTGTCGATGTCGGGAATATTTTGTGAATTCCCCTTCTGTGTACGCATCCCTTGTGCATATAATAATTTCGTTATTCTACTTCCATCTGTCGCTTCCTTCGGACACAGCCTAATAACAAACCAACTAGTTTCGAAACACAGCGCAAAAACTTGTCTGATAAGAAGAGTTAACGCCCTCCGTTGACGTTGCTTCCTGCGTTTTCGATTGAAGCAGTAATTATCGTTACCGCATACGTCGTAATTACGTTATTATTGGCACGCTCGCGAAAAACTCGAACACCAGGTATTGACACCTTCCATTAGAGGCCGCAGAAGAGGCGAAAATGCGCGAGCAAAGGAATGCTCCACAAGCTTTCCATAACCGACTAAAAAGCATAGTAAGAGGTACATAAAATAAAAAAAATGCCTTGTATAAAATTTTCCTTTTAAATATATTATTCGATGTCCGTACGAGTAATAATCGCAGGTCGGAGCTCCACGAACCCGACCCTTTTCCTCCGTGTTTACATATTATCAAAAAAAAACACCCTCGTGTCAGTTTCCTCCCATTAGGGAATCCCTTCTACATCCTCGGTGTCCTTCGATCGGGCGGGGTGGACCCATCAAATAAAATATCGATATCCCTCGCAGATCCGCTCATTGTCCGGTTTGATTTATCTCTTTCGAAAGGTGAATTGGGTCCGAAAACATACGCCGAATGTGTTTACGGGATTTTCTCGTATACAGAAAAAAATATTTTGCTTACTTCAGCTCGATTTATAGATAGACATTCGGATTTATTCGTTATTATATAGGTTAATTTATGAACAATTTGTGAATTGTTTATTAAATTTGTAGTAGAGAGGGAAAAACCGCTCCTGTTGAAAGTTGTTCCGGAGCGATGCCCCGGAATTTGAATATCAAAAGGTCCCCGGCTACATCAAAAGATTATAAATTATTTAACAAATATAACGCGAAATCTACGCGCGCACATTAGCGTTATGTATATAGTACATCTGCGTTGTAAATGCGGGTTAACTAAGGGATATCATCAAAGGGCCAACGCTTAGAGCGCCAGATGCGAATTACCCTTTGTGTCGAATAAACATATACACACACGCAAACAAACATACATAAATATAGAGATTCGCCCCGGAGGGCCCCGCAAAGCCGACAGTCCCTCGGATTTCGTTTACGTTATTATCGAAAAAGCGCACCCCCGCGTACACATTTATATCGATTCGACCCTGTTTTTGGCCGATTTCGATTCCGATCGAGGACGGACCAGTTGTATTTGCATGTCCTACATGAAACGGAACCCTTTTAAATTTCGTTTTGCGGATAATGCGATTGATTTGCCAGTATTTCATCCCCGCGAAATTACCGCTGAAAGTAAACTCTGCGTGAGTGGAAACGAAAAGCACAACGATACGGCGGTTTTAGGGATAAAATCTCCCCTAAAAAATATGCGAAACAAATTCACATATGAAGCAACATTTACTGTATTTACGAAACTTTCATCAAGCGCTATAGATATCATCAGGAATTCAAGAGAAGACGGCGACCTCTTAAAGGTTTCCTTTATTCTGCGGACCGATCCGAAACGACGCCGGTCGCCGCGACGTTGGTAATAAAATTTCAATAACGCAATTTGTCTCTCCTTCACGTCCGACCCCCGATCAGCCATCTGGATGGGTCATCGTATGTTCTCGATTCCAGAAGTATTACGAATAAAGTCGCTTGCAGTGTCCGACGACCGCCAGATGGCGGTTCTGCCCGTGCACGACCCCCTACGAGAGCGTGTATAGAGGAATAAAGAATCCTTATTTCCGTTGTGTGTTTCATAGAAAATCAAATAAAACCTTCCTGTTCGAAATACAGGCGACTGCATCCAGCGTACTCTATTGGTCCTGATTCGATTCGAGCTGGAAATCTTAGGGCAACAGCGAGCACAAAAGTCGGTTGTGAAAGATTTTTTTTTAAATCTCGATTTGTTAATTAAAATCCGAGGGCGAATGTTTACAGCGGAGCAAAACAAAAACCGTTTTTGTGTCGGAAGTGTCGAAAGTATTAATTAAGAATTCGAAACGGATTTGTTCGAGCTGCAAGTGGAACTTTGTAATTTAATCTTAAGCGAGAAGTTAAAAAGGGGGAAGCGGGATATCCGAAATGGCCTAGTTTCGCGTCAGATTCCAAACTTTTTTTAATATTTGCGCTCGCGACAGTCGGACTAATTACGACTAAAAAAAAACCTGAAGAAAATAAACCGAACTTTCCGTTCCGTCTGCATAACAACACCACGAGGTATATCGACATGCTGTCGTCGTCGCCGAGCAGAAAACCAACAAAACCGCGAGAAAGCGTCGTAAATATAATTAGGCAACCCCCGGCGAACGAAACGGCCCGTCAGACCTCCATAATAAATAATACTCATCGCGGCGGTTGGAACGCACCTGGTCTAAAACAAACTAGCGACGAGAAAAACAAGAGGAACGAACCGAGAACGCAGCGACCTCTGCGAGAATCAATCATTTCAATTCGGATCATTAATACGGTCCCCGGGTGGTTGGGGATTTTTCTTTGATGCTATTTGTTTGCTTAATGCGCCTATTTATTACCTGTTTAAGCATATACAGCTCGCAACTAAATCACGTCTGCAGCCCTTTCGAATTGAATTCACTCGCAGGGACACTTGCAGCATCGTGTTTGCAGGAAACTTAACTTTCAATTAAGCATATTTGTAATATAAACAAGATTCGTGGGATATAGAATGGCATCAATTCGTCGAGGGAAACGAAGGTAAGAGCAAGTCCTGGGATTCCGTCTTCTCTTGCGTCTTGAGCCCTCCTTAAGCCAGCTTAGGATAAGAAGGATTCCGAATTTCTAGGTGTAATCACGATTTCTAGCCGACGTATCTCAACCCATTTAGATCGGTATCTGGATAATCCGCCTTTATGCCGCGCCGTCCCACGCCCGTCTACCCCCTCGCATCTCGCAGCGTCGTCCGATTACAACAACGTACGAGACTTTAATTACGAAGGCTTTCCGTGTTAAGAAATTTATTGCATTTTTAAGTAGTAATTATCGCGCCTTTTAAACGGTAGAAACCATTACTTAGCCGAAGCGGAGCGCACCGAACCGAAAGGGGATAAAGAAAAAAATTACACTTTGTATTGACACCGAATCGAAACTGGTAACAAATTGGACACGTATTTAAAGCGCTCAGATCGAATCGCCGGATAAATGTTAAATTACTGCTCTTGTTCCAGTTAATTTCACTAAATGCTTCAATATTGCCTTACGCACTCTTTCATATAACTTTATTCCCGATGAACTCGTTTGGCAATTTGATTGGGTTTTTGCTGCTACATAATATTGTTTTCCTTATTGTACTTCTGGCCAAAAGGCGATGGCGAGAACCAGCTAGATAATAGAAATTTTCGCTTCGGTAAGGTCGAACAGAAAAGTCAATTAGGGCCCTTATTTCCCATTTCCGAACTCTTCATAATAGGAAAAAGATTGTCGATTCGAAATTTATTCACTTCGATTATCTAGTATTGTACTGCCCGGCTCGAGGATGCACCGATATATATTGGAAGACGGCAACGTAATTGAATAATTTATTTTCCCATTTGAATGATATTTACGGCCCCATCGGCCGGTTTTATGGCCAAAGGGAAATCTCGATTTGCGTGCGCCGCTCTATTTGGTAAGTTCCGTTTGTTTTTTTTCGGGCTCTACGCCATGCATTCCTGTAATTATAGCTACTCGGTAATGGCAGTTGTGCTTATTTGATTCCGATATTAACGCACAGAGGGACCATATGGGACGCACTGAGGATGATTGGCGTGCCATTAGGTTTCCTATTGTTTTCCGTCCATTACTAATTTTTTACCGGCATTTGCGGTGAGCTATTGTCGTTAATCGAGCTTGTCGAATCGATTGTTCGTTTACAATAACTTTCCTATAAAATATAAGACGATTTTTATTATCCTGTTCATAGTAAATATCACCTTTAGACGGTTTAACGTTAGCTAGGTATGGATAAATTTTTCGTTCCAAACTTTGTGTTCAATGATGAATTTTAATTTAAAATTTATTTATACACACTTGCATTGAATTATTTTAAATATTCGCATTTATAATCCGATACAAATATAGTGATTAAAAATATGAGCAGTGCTTGTATATGCGCCTATTTAATATTATTGGAGCGTTTTGCAAATAAATAACGTACATAGCGTTTTAAATACTGAAATTAGGTGGTATTGAGTGTGACGTATCGGTTGTTAATTATCCGATGAATTTATTTACAAATGGACAAAATATACGATGCTATTCAGTTTTATAGATATAGCGATAATATAGCAATTTATTCTACCTACATGACATACATTTCAAGTTTTGTAGTACTTACGAAACGGTTTCAAATCGTAATTTTATTGTAGTACTCACCTGAAACAAAAACAGATAGGTAAGTAAAAAAAATCATAATCGAGAGATGGCTTAATCGATATTTTCCCGTTAGTTACGAAAGCTCATTGCATGATTTCGACGTGGAAATAGCGCGGTCGGTCCACGGCCGGTGTAACAAATTTCGATTTTGTGACGGTCTTTTTTGCTCGTGGTGTTATTTCACAAAGGCGTTACCTTTTTTTTCGGTTTTATATTTCTTTTGTACAAATTTATGTCGAGAATCGAATCGGCCCGTTATGCAGCAAGGAATTTTATGTGGGACTCGGTTAAGTGCGGCACAGAAGAATGATAAAAATGCAGAAGCATTAATAGTTGAAGTGCACACCAAAAGTTTAAGTAAATTATTCATAGTTAAGGTGGTTACTAAAGCAAAATCCTTGTTTCAGATGGAACTAATGATCATTGGTTGGCATTTGAAAAGGCACTAAAGTATCAACAGGTACTTAAAAATAAACTTTATTATACAATAAAAATATAAAAACAAATTAAGAAAACATTTTGTAATCGATCTAGTACATCGATTCAGTGTCTTGGTAAATTCCACGATTGCTCGTCGAACGAACCAAACAAAATAAAAATCACACCGCTGAAAAGATAAAATATGCTGCCTGTATAAAAATAATTACCCCACTCTTTCAACCCGTTGTGGTTCCTAATAAAAAACCCCTGCAGTATGGGTACCACCAGGCCGGTGATTCCGCCGAAGAAACTGATAATGGCGAAAACCGTTCCCGAAAAATTAGGAGATAAATCCTGCGCGTTGACCATGTTCGTCGCGATGCAAGTACCATTAATGCCCAAGCCGATCAACACGAAGATCACGCCGACAATGTTGCAGCAAATGATGGAAAACGACATGATCATGACGCCGGGAATAATGTGCGAGAAGAGCGTCAAGATCCTTCGCATGTGCTCTTTCGTTGCACGGCCCTTTTTGATTAAATTATCGGTCAAAAAACCAGTCGAAATGGCCACGATCACCCGAACCAAATGCGGCACCATACAAAGTGCGCCCGATGCACCGCTCAAATTGTACCCAATCACTTCAGACATATATTTCGGAATGCTGTTTATCTGTATGTACAACCCGTACATGGAGCCCATGTGGCCGAAATTCAGTATCCAAAACGGCCGACTTCGCAGTATTCGTCTAATAGGAGCGTGGAGTCTTATGTCGGAAACATGTCCCATTTGACTGCGCCTAATGTAATCGACTTCCTCCTGGGATATGAACCGATTCAGATCCGGTCGATCGCTGCAAATAAACCAAAAGAACACACAATACAACACTATTTGGAACGAGACGATGTAGAAACCCCAATCCCAACCGAAAGTTTCCGTCACAAAGGAAATGAGCGGCCAATTGATTATAGAAGACAAAGCGTTGCCCATCAGGGCCGATGTAAACTTGCACCGTTCGAGCGGCGGCGACCAATGCGCTATAAGTATCTGGAAAGATGGGTAAATAAAAGTACCGAGCAGTCCGATTAAAAACCTGGTCACTATAAAAGCCATGTAGTGAAAATGCGCTGCCGGTACGCAAAGAGCGTTTAAAGCGGCCGAGCCCAGGGTAAACCAAAATATTATATTGGATGTACCGACCCATTCCGCTACTGGACCGCTCGGCAAACATCCCGTTATGTAGCCCCAATAATAGCTGCTCAACGCGTAGCCGATGATCAGTTCACTCCACTCGAAACGAGGACCGTAGTCGGGCAGATCCGGGAACACCGCCTCTGCGTCCGTGGCGTTTTCTTCGAGCGAAGCATAAGAAGGTAGACGCAGACATTCCGGGATGTGTTCCATTTTCTTCCGTTGCCTCGTCATTGCAACTATGCTCACCGGCACGTTCGCTCTCAGCGCGTAATTTACGTACGCTCCGAAAAATATCATCACCGCTATCCAGAATCTGTAAGGCACTTTTTTCATCGTCCATGAAACCAATATGCTCGAACGTAAATGAAGGTAATCAAACGAATCTGCCGACTTTTTGGTAAAATTTCTGTTACAAATGACGTTAGGGATAGAATTCTACATGTTGGACACAAAAAAAAGATTCTGTGAATTGCTGCAGGTTGGTTAAGGGTGGGTATAGTGAGTACAAGATTAAAGCCGAATGTGAGTTTCACATTTTAATTTAACCAATCAAATATTTTGGTTTCGAAACGATTAATCGACTTGTAACACGACTGGTTGATTCGTTTTCCAAATAGAGGCGCTGTAGTCACAAATTGTATTTCTTCTTTTTCCATTCAACAAACTCAATAATAACATCGATCCAGTTTATTCTAGCAAGTATTCGAATTTAGTTCGGAGAACTTTTAAGTAGCGTATATTATGATTTTTGTTTAACAACAATTTGCAAGGCATGAAAGTGCCAAAGCAATTGCGAAACATCCAGCGGTGCGCGGATTAGTGGGTGGCCGGCCAATAAGCGAATTAATTTCCTAATTTTCGATCGCTCACCGCCCAAGTGACTGGCATTAAAACGCCCGGCCGTCGTCGCGGCCCGATCGCGATGTTTACGGGGCCACCGGGACACTTTACGAGCCGTTTAGAAGGCGTTTTACGATTCTCTGGCACTACTTGAAACGAAAATCGCGTAAAAACGGACGGGCGTCGCGTTGCCTTTTTTTAGACTCTCGCGGCCTAATTCGGCGCGAAGCCGATTTTCAGGAATGTTATCCCTCGTAAATCATATCGATCATTTTAGAACCGGTACTCGCGCTGGATTTAATGCGTAAACACCTATAAATGTTACAGGGTTTCAACGCGTTGGTGGTCTTAATTTGTACACCTGTAGTGTCTAGACGACTCACACAAAACTCTCTCCATCACGAGCTGAATTGATAGAAAAGTGTAGGGAGTTAACCGGAAACCTCTAAGTATAACACTTTAGGTTAGCATAAGCCGTGATTGCCGGGGCGCCGTTTCCGCGATTTCCCGCAATCCACTTCATTTGGAATGTTTGTTTCGTCGATGGGATTATGCACGCTCGCCGAGCGAACCGCGCGAATAATATTTGGCGCTAGTTTCTCAGGTGATTTTCACCCTTTTCATTAGAAATCCGCCGAACGGAGAGCGAAGCGGCCTCCGTTGATTTATAATCTGCCGGGAGTTTGCTCGAGAGCATAAAGGTATTAAAATGAAGAGATTTGCACGCATCAGGTGATGTGGCTTGGAGGCTCCGCCATGCCCGCCTTCCCTTGGATAATTCGTTTTGCCAGATATTTAACATCGTACCCGTTTTGTATATATATTTTTTTTAATTTACCTGCAACATTTAGTGAGGAGAGTAAGATACATTGTCGACTAGCTCACCTGATTTCTGTTCCGTCTATCTAATTCAATCCGGCGGTTAATTAAGCGAATTCCCCGTCAGTCTCGGGCGAGCAAAATTATTTAGATACGCTCCATTTTCATTTCCACCTGTTTCCTAGGACATTAGTCACCGGAGGAAAGCGTGTCAATGAGCATTCCACGGAATTCGCCAGTTAATTCGGAGGCGAGTCGATATCGAATTTAATGATCCGTGTAGTTGCTAATCGATGGATCAGGTTTATGCTGCATTCTCTTATCGTCGAACCGAAAATATTCATTCTAAAGATTAGTTTGCTATGAGGGAATGCTTTTAATTAGCAATATCGAAAGAGATTGAATGATAGACCGGATTATTCTTGCGGTATTTAGAGCGTTAAAAATGCTCCAGTTCAATTGGAAAGATTCGGTGTCGAGCGAGAATAAAAAACCAGCGAAGAGACGCGGTTTCGCGGAAAGAGGACGTCCTCGCTCGCGACGCGAACCAGACAAACGAGGGATCTCTTAAAATTATGAGTTCTTCGAATTCCAACAAGGAGGTTTATGACACTCTCACTTCGTTTGTTCGTTGCCCGTCGAGTGGATTTTCCACTCTGTCAGATAATCGGAAATTTATTGCGTTAGCGTGATTTTTCGGATTAAGCTTTTCGCCTGTGTATCCTATATGTTTCCGTCGGACGGGGAAAAAAACAACGAAAAAATTGTATAATATCCGAATAGACGCTAATTTATAACGAGAAACACGACACGAAATTTTAAAATTAGTATTCCTCGCGATAAATTTAACGTTGCAATTTTAATTAACTCGCGGTTGATGGGTTTAGTGCCTTTGAACGTCTTAAATAAAGGCTTTAAAAATCTATAAACCATTAAAATTTAGAAATATCTTTTATAATTACTCTCTAAGCCTACTTAATTCCTAATTAGTCGTAGTTTTAGTTAATGATTTTATAATTTTTTGTAAATAAAAAAATACTGGTAATAATTGGGCTTTGAATCCTATTATTCTTCTTTTGAATTACTAATGATAAATAGCTTGTTAATTTTATATTTCATTTTTTTAATCTAACTGTTCAAAGAATTAAGAGCTTGCGCTATTAATAGATAAATTAGGAGCAAAATTTACATGCCATCAGATAAAAACAATTTTTAATTTATATCTAACAATAAATGAGGACTCTATTGCAGCCTTTATGTATGTTCCTTTGAGCTGTTGGCATATTTCCTGTAAATGAAAAAATAGGGCGGATTAATCAGGTTTTTATTCCTGTGGTATAACAAAATAATAACTTCCATTTGCCTCTGTATCAGCGACCACTGATCCTGCACCGTCCAGCTGATTAATATTACGAATCGCGGTTTTTGTTTACATTTTTAGACGTAAATCATTTTGTGCCGTCGAAAAAATCCAATTTCGCTCTTTTTCGAACGCGAATATTTTTATTAAACGCGGAATAAGTAAATAAATCAAAAAACCCGAATGGTTTTAATACAAAAATCCGACTATTTGATTAAACCTATATGGATAGACCAAAAGTAAAAAGAAATGTTTTAATAACATTATACCTTTGTACTAATTGGGGAAATGTATGTAGGTTTACACTTCACAAAATTTGCTTTGCTATATGGTGATATTTTCATCGAAACGTCGTGTTTCTATATCACATGCATTATCTAAGTATTGCAGTTACAGTTACATCATCAGGGTGTGCATATAGAGCTCCCGCCATCTTGCTCGCGGGCGCCCGTAAACAAAGTACACGAACGGGCGACTTGGGTGTATCTTAATTGGCGACGGGAATGAATCAAGACGACTTCTCCCCGCTCGCCCACGTGCCTCTATCCTTTCTCATTGTTAATCGAAACTTTATGGCTTTGGCACTCTCCTGCTCCGGATTACAAATTGAAACAAGATTCATTGGTTTGTTCCCGTTTCGTTCCTCGTTCGAATTTATCTCATTAGGAGAACTTTAAATTACCCAATGTTCTACGGTCGCTTCGATTTTCGAGCTGTACGAGGAAAAAAGGTTATACCGGGGGCTGGGGATAAGATTAATTTTTTCATCTTGTGTACATGAAAGTACCTACACTAAATTCGTCAGGAGGATTTGGTTCGTTATCAGGAATTTTCTTAAAGCGTCGTTGTTTTGATTATTTTTCGTTTTTGACGTCGCGAGATTGTAAAAATAATTAGGTTGCGATGCAGGGGGCGCTGGGGGAGATGGGCACGGTGGAAGATTCGGTGTAATTAGCATTCCGGCGTTACCTTCTTTGATCTCGTTTACACTCGTTCGCGTTTCTGAAGCGACATCCTCTCGAATAACAGCCGGAACGGTAATAAAAACGTACAATGAGTGTTAATAATTTGCGTGTATCGATGTAAGAAAAAAACGATGCATCGTTTATTGCTGTTCGAACAAAAGTAAGTGCATAATAACTTGTCGATTCCGAACCAATTAGCGCGAACGAATGGGAAAAAATCGTCGCAACTCTTCGTCACTTTTGTTAATTTCATTTAAATTCATCGATCTATCCCGAGGGCAGGACGAACTCCTTTCTCTCTCGTTTACGGAAAAAAAAAACGTAATGAGAGTCGTTTCCCTATTCTCTTTGTAATACTTTTACGAATATAATTAACTCCGTTAATACTTCTTGTAATTAGCGTTCTTTGCAGAATTCACTCTTTGATCTACTGGAAGCGAGGAGTGAGGAGTTTTTTATTCAATATAATTTGCGAAGAAACGAACTTATTTATTTCCTATAACAAAACAAACCCGCTAATATCAAATGATTACGTGTATTTATTTTATTTAGAGCCAAGAGCTAAAAAAAAATCTCACTCAATCTTTTCAATTTACCCTCGCATAATTACAAGCGCAAACACATTCGCCCGACAATAAACCACTCGAATCGAGCACTAAAACCGACGATATTAATACCGAGCGTTATCTTTCTAACGCTATTACGGCAGATATAAAATTCCATTTCGCATTCGGGCGTCGCAAAAGTCGCGGGAATAAAAGCGAACAAAAAGCACGAAGAAACGGCGCGTACGCGATACGTATGCGAAACGTTTATCTCCCGATGATCTCGCGCCGACTTCCATTCGTTCAAGCCTTCCCTTTTACGTGCCGGTGTCAATTTCGTACGTAATAAAACTTTATTCGCGAATACGCGTACGCTTTAACGTCGCTCATCAAGTTATGACGTAAATCACGCGGGATTTTACGCCGCGCCCGGAGGGTCCGGAAAATTAAAACGAAATGGTCACATTTAACTCCAGCCTAATCTATTCTCGCGTCTTTCTTCAGAAACTCGCGTAAAATGCTTAGATGCGTGCGTTAGCTGTCAGCGTAGAAGGGCTTAATTTCGTGATAGGTCGCCGGTCATTCCGAAAATTAATTGGCGAACGACTAACCGCGACTTCTGCCGATAAATTTACGACATTAGCCGAGATAAAACCGTCGATTTATCTTTTTTTTTCTTCCTATATAGAAAGGCAGTTTATTTGGCACAATGGCGACCCGTTTCGATCTCAGATAACGTTCTCTCCGGACAACTGAATGGTAGTAGAGCACACCGGGTTGATGGACGACAGAGGTAATGACAGGTCTCGTTTCGTCGCCCGTAAATTCGATCGAAGAATAAGAGGGGACCGGCAGCGTTTCGATCACCGTACTTTTTTTCTAATACGCATCCTCAAGGTCGACCGGAGGATTCTTCGCTGGTCCCCAGTTCTTCGTTTCTTCGACACGCATCGT